TGACACTGCGCCCTCTACAGCTAAGATGGTGAACAACAGCTCGACCTGGAGCTGGGCTGCCGTGAGTTGCCGGCGACGGTGTAGGCTGCAGTGGGCTGCCGTGAGCTACTGTGAGTGGCTGGCAGCCAGCGTGAACGGCTGGCAGCTGGCATGAACTGCCATGAGCTGTTGTGAGCGGCCGTCCAGTGGCTGGCGACCGATCTGCCTCAGCCGCTAAGAGCGCAATGATAATACCAACATGCGCCAGTAAAGCGACGTCCTCCACAACTAAACTAAAGAACAAAAGGACAGCAACTTGGCTATTCCCCTCCCCCAGTTCCCCAATAAAATCTTAAAAAAAAAAATTGTAAGGAACACACACACACACACCTATTATAACAACAAGTTCAGTAAGGTTTCAGGATTCAAGATCAATATTCAATAATCAATTGTATTTCTATACATTAACAATGAAAAATCCAAAAATATTAAGAAAACAGTTCTATTTTTATAAGTATATAAAAAAATACTTAGAAATAAACTTAACAAAAATGCATGACTCACTCTATAAACTACAAAACACTATTTTAAAAAAATTAAGAGAGTTGTTTAAGAGTTGGCTTAAGAACGCGAGTTCTGAACAACAGGGCCGCTGGTTTGATTCCCACATGGGCCAGTGACACTGTGCCCGAGCTGAGCTGTCACTGAGCTGCCAACAGATGGCAGGATGGCTCAGCTGGTGTAACAACAAGATTGCCTGTTCGATGGTGGGCTACGCCCACTTGCAACTGAACTCAGCTCTTTGAGCTGAGCTGTCTCCCGGATGGCTCAGTGGACAGAGCGTGCGCTCTTAACAACAAGGCTGCCGGTTCAACTCCCGCATGGGATGGTGGCTATGCCCACTCACAACTAAGACTGAACTCGGCACCTTGAGCTTAAAGGCCACGAGCTGCCGATGGGCAGCCAGATGGAGACTGGCGCCCTCCACAACGAAGATTGAAGACCAACAACTTGGCTGGTCCCCTTCCCCAATTCCCCAACATTGTTCCCCTCCTCCAATTCCCCAATAAAATCTTTAAAAAAAAAAAATTTAAAGAAGACCTAATAAATGAAAAAACATCCCATGCTCATGATTGGAAGCCATAATATTGGTAAGATGGCAATACTCCCCAAATTGATCTACAGATTCAACCAATCCTTATCAAAATCCCAGCTAGCGTCTTTTTTCCAGAGATTGACAAGCCATTTCTAAAATTCACATGGAAATGCAGGGGACCCAAAAGAGCCAAATAATCTTGAAAAAAGACAAAGTTCCTGACTTCAAAAATTACCAGCTAACATTCTTTGTGGCATCTTTAATTTGCCAGTTCATTTCATCATTCATTCAAAATGTTTTTGAGCACTTACTGTGCAGGCAAAATCGGGAGTTTAGGATTGAAAGTCCCTGGGCTCAGGGGAGGACACTGTGGCCGGCCACATAGAAATCAATAGGCAACTTCTACAAAGGCTGGTCTGGCGTGCTGTGGGCGCACGGAGGCGCGGCTCCGGATTTCCGAGGTCAAGAAGGGCTTCCCGGGCCGGGCGAGTGGCGCAATGGTTAAGAACTGGCTTGGGATGCCAGAGGGCCCCGGTTCGGATCCCACATATGAGGGCCAGTGACACTGCCCTCTACAGCTAA